TCAGGTCTCAAGATGGAATGCACCAGCAGTCCTCTTTCCTCCACAAGAATGACCACATTTTATTTCACCCGGCTAAAGTTATTAATTTTTATTGCTATCCAACACAACTCTCCTCTACGACGTTAACTTGTTTGTTTGTTGAACCAGGAGTAAGAGCATGAATTAAAACCTCAAGGGGCCATATAGCGTTATGTCATCTGTGTTTGTCTGTTTCACTTCCGTACAGAAAGATTTATGTCACAAGTGCAGGGTGTGAGGATGGCGTCTTGTCTTCATCACTGTATTCCTGCCTCGCCCAACTCCCTTCAACTTGGACTGTCCAGTTGTGGAAATTTTAACTTTTTGTCCTTAATTTCTGTAAAAGTTGTTGTATCACAGAGTCACTTTAACTGCGAAACCTATTTTAAATTTCGGTCTCTGTGGTAATTTTCATCTTAACTCCAATCTGCACTAATGACACTCCCTGATACACCTTACTAACCATGCGTTATTAAAATGCAAAGTTTCTCATCACAACCTACAACCACGACAGCAAGTCTCAAGTTGATGATCGACTTTCCACTAGCCTTCACTCAATTGTCAAACCCTTGTAGCGCTTCTGTCACGTGCTTTAAGAAGATATTGAAGACTTTGAGTGACAGATGACAGACTCGCCTGACACCAACCCACGAGTGAAACCTGTCAAGACTCTGGTGAGCCAAGAGTCTCTGATGACGTGTCTAAGACAGCTTGGATGAAGTGTGCTGCAGCTCAAGCTTGGGTGACGTGTACTACAGCTCAAGCTTCCTGCCACACACGACCAAAAGCTCCTCTTGTTTTTTAAAGTGCACCAAGATGTTACTCAAGGGTTACTGAGCACTGCAGTATCTCTCACTCAACTAAGGGAGATTAAAGAATTAGGTACCTCCCCCCTCACACAGGCACGTTTACACAACACTCCTCTCTTCTCGCCGACGCTGTAGTGTGTTTACAGACACTCTAAGTAGGATCTTGGTGGAGATAAAAATAAGGGGAAGTGGAGGCATGATACTAAAGGTGGACAATACAGTATGGGTGTAGTGGAGTTCTCACGAGTAGTAGTAGTAGTAATAAATGATAATACGGTACATCAGAATGTCTACCACCATAGAGCTGATTTTTTTTACGCCATTACTCGACCACATAACAACCTGTACAATAATTGAACAGTTCCTTAACACACCTGTATGAAAGTGTACTAACCTTACACGAGACACAACAGGACCATCTTGGAGCAGACAACAATGAAGAGACGTTCCAGGAATTCTTAGTCTCAAGCGTGGAGAGGATGTGTTCCTGACTGTTAAATGAACACAATAACATCACTTAAATGACGACTACTGACCTGGGTGTTCATCCTGAGCTTGTTCATGGCCTGGAGGGCGGTGGAGGCGTGGTCGGGCGTGCAGTGGAAGTGGTGGGTGAGGGGTTGTGTGGGCGTACCGGCGGGCGTGCCGGGTGTGCCCACCTCCACGCTCATCCTGCTGGGCGTGGGTGAGTGGGCCAGAGTGAGGGGGAGTGACAGGGAAGGAATGGCGAAGGTGTGGGGGGAGAAAGATGGAAGAGAGAGAAAGGAAGCGTGGGCGTGAATAATTACGGACGGGGAGTAATAGCCGAGGACAGGAATGGGCGTCTGTGGGCGTGACTAAAGGAGAAGAACGTCAACGAGTCTGCAGGAGGGATAGCGGGAGAGTGGAGATCGAGGTCTACAGCCACAGGAGGTCGGCCAAGTCACCTCACATCACAGTAGACACCAATAGGATACTTGGTGTCGATCGAGTGAGCTTTGGTGGTCGACTTCGTTTAATAACTGATGATGTAATGGCGTCGAATACCTCAGGCTGTTGATAAAGACGTCGAATATTTAGTGATGTTATTTCTTCTTCCTTGATACTTGATACACGTTCAGTACTTGATGCTAAACTAATAGATAAACTTACGTATTTTATCTGACCTCTCACTGATACCAAGTCTTCTACAATTTCACTTTTTTATATATAATTATTCAAAGTTTACCAAATAAATTACTACGTTTCTTAGCGAGGCAAAATTTAAGGCCTCATATATATAATAATAAAATTCACTCTTAAATAACCTTTAACACCGGGGGAACAAATTCTCGCTAATTCTAACTAATTCTCTCAAAAAAGTATCTGAATCTGTTCACAAATAATTACCCTTTTCAGAGTTCGGGTTAATAGTTAATATATTTCAAACACATTTTTCTTCCATCAACAATTTCATGTATATAAAAATCGTATTGTTTCTTTTTTTAGGTTTATATAATTTATTTCTATATAAATTCTTTCTTTCTATCACTATATAATACACTATTTATTTCCTTCTTTCAGTCGTGTGTTAATTTTTTTACTTTAATTTCTTGACGTGTAAAGTTATTCCTTTCTCTTCTCTTCTCGTGTTCACCTCCGCGTCTGAAGAACATGAAGAACTAAGCCAGGGTTGTTTTCTATTATTAGTGTTCCTGTGTGGAAGAGAGAACACATGAACAGTTAGTTAGAGCTAATAATAATAATAATAATAATAATAACAATAACAATAACAAAAACAACAACAATAATAATAAAATCAGTAACAATAACAATAATGATAAAAATAATAATAATAATTGTCTGTGTATCTTCAACAAAACACACACACACACACACCCACCCACCCTACAAATCATCACCTTGTCTCCCCCTCCTAATCACCTACCTCCCCCTCTCCCCACCACTACCACATCCCCCTCTCCTCACCACCTCCTCCTCCCCCCACCCCCAACCTCTTCCCCAACACAACACACAGAATACCAAAACAAAACCAATCTCATATACAAGGTCGGTACACTCCCCTGTGCCTCACCACTACCCACAACACGATACAATATTCACGAAAAAATAAATTAAGAATCGAAATGAAGAAATTTTAGGATCACCTGAAGATTAGACACCCTAGCTTATTATCACTTAACTAACACGAATATAAAACAATGTTGATTCAATTATTTACACCCCAAAAGTTTGTGACACGACTAAATTGTGTGTGTGTGTGTGTGTGTGTGTGTATAGTCTGTATGATCATTACTGTACACTAACTACACACACATACACACACACCAACACACACACCTTAAATTCCTGAAGCACATCTGAAATTACCTGACGCACACACTTGAAATTCCTGATGCATACACACCTGAAATTCCTGACGCACACACCTGAAATTCCTGATGCACACCCCTGAAATTCCTGATGCACACACCTGAAATTCCTGATGCACACACCTGAAATTCCTGATGCGTACACACCTGAAATTCAAGACCCACACACACATGAAATTCCTGACACACAAACACACACCTGAAATTCTTGACTCAGACCTGAAATTACCTGACGCACACACCTGAAATTCCTGATCAGGTTCTTGCATTGGACATTCTTAGTATCTTTCCTCAGATATGTTAGTAAGTACACGTACGTACATACATGGATACACAGAAACGCACAAACACAAAAACGTACACACAAACGTAAAAAACGTACATGCAAATATACAAACGCATCCGAACGAAAGCCTTTAAAAATAGACAACAAAATCATTCATATTGTCACTGGTTGAAAGTTATTTTTTTATAGCTTGTTGGACATACATACATACATACAATACACACACACATACATACATACATACACAATCATTCATACATACATACATAGACGAAAACCGACACAAGAGGGTTCAAAATATAGATGTGGCTAAAAATAGGACCAAATCCTTGAGGCTAGCATCAATCACTAGGAGAAAGGGGGTCAGTGATGGCTAGTCTCTCCCTCTCTCCTTCCTTCGTCTTCTCTTTTCTCTTATCCTCCTCCTCCTCCCTACTTTACTCCTATACCTCTACTCACTCCCTTCACTCTCCCTCCCTCCTCTCTTCTACTTCATTCTCTCTTCTTCCCTCCACCTCATCCATCCTTCTTCCCCCTCTTCTCCTCCATCTCACCTTTTCCCTCCTCCTTTATTCTTCTATTTTATACTTTACTTCCCCCCCCCCACTATCCTCCTCCACGTCCCCATCCTCTTCCTCCTTTCTTTCCTCTATCCCTCCAATCCTCTCCTCCACTTCACCCTTTCCTCCGTGTTCTCTTCTATCTAACCTTTCCTTCCCTTTCTTCTCTCCACCTCCCCTACCCCTCCTTCCTCTCCTCCATCTCGCTCTACCTCACCCTTCCCTCCTTACTCTCCCTCCACCTCACCTTCCCTCCTCACTCCCCCTCCACCTCACCTTCCTTCCTTCCCTCCTAGACATAATCAAGCCAACAGCCTCATTAAACCTGGCCAGACTCATCTTGGCCACGTCATCACAGGTTTAATAAACTTATAATAAACCAGTTTTATGCCTCACTGCCTCACCTACACAAGGAACTCGCTCTATTAAACCTTCCCCCTGCTCTCTCTCTCTCTCTCTCTCTCTCTCTCTCTCTCGATTCCTAGCACCACACACGAATACATGCTCCAATTCAAGACACTCACAAGGTTCTAAGTTATATGTATCTTCTCTATATTGACGCGAAAATGTATCTTATTGGCTCACTAACATATGGAATCAATATTTAAGCAATGTTATGTTCGGTTTTAAAATATTCGGCGGCATCTTGGTGACAAAATTCATAGTTTACCAATAATATGAAACCAAGGAGCCTCGCAACACTGAATTATTCCTCAAGGAGCCACATGCCACTGAATATTAACCAAGGATATGCACACACCACTGAATACTAACCAAGATGCCATGTACGACTGAAAAATCTCAAACATACAACTGAAGTGTGATACTAATAATAATAATAATAATAATAATACACGTAAAATATTGATAAGTAGATAGAATTACCAGAAAATGCAGACGAAAAACCAAAATGGAAAAAAAATAATGTAAATGAGAATAAATAAAAATAAAAACCACTTAAATGTTAATAAAATTTTAAATAAAATGCATATTAAAAACCCAGTGATGCAAAAACAAATAAAAACGATAATTAAATAAAAACAAAATAAAACGCAAATAAAAACACAATCGTAAATAAAACACATTTAAAACACCAAAACAAACAACAACTACCCAGGAAACATTTTACATATCACAAAGACAAAAATATCAATGACCCCAATTTTTTTTTCACACAATATCGGAGACTTTTTTCATTCTTTCATTTTTTTCTACGATGGTAAGGCTTTTTTATATTGTGTTGACATTTTTTCCTTCTTTCTTTCACTTGTCTCTGCGATGTTTTAAATTTCTTAGAAGGGCGACTCACAATAGCGTCCCGTGTGTGTGTGTGTGTGTGTATGTGTGTATGTATGTATGTATGTATGTATGACCGACAATGACTGACTGAACTGTATGTGTGCAAAATTAGAACCTACCTCAAGCTCATAGACACACTGAGAGACTTGAAATTATCTCCCCCAAAGAGACACTCGACCTCTAAGAGTCTCGTGACACGACACGCGGGTCATGACGTCATATTATTGACTCACCTCCCCCCCGCCCCCCTCACCCCTTCCTCCTGGCCGTCAGTGAGTTGCCAAGTCTGGGAATTTACGCCAGATATAGTTGCCAGGTAGTCACTTTTTGTCTGCCAGCTGCCACACCTAGACAAGGCTAGACAACTTGCAGTGCTCGTGCGACAGACGGGAAAGATTCGGATTTTCTTTCATTGATTCCTAAGCGTATCTAAAGTTTGGGGAATTAGGATCCAGCTTATTTCACCTCGAAGATTAAACGCACGCTAACCTAACCTAACCAAACTTAATCTATCTTCACCTAATTAACCTAAACTGACCTAATCCAGCCTAATCCTCCTCCCACCAGGTAGCGTCTGGGTGTTAATCATCAGGTGAAATAAGCTGGGGAAATAATCTTCAGGTATCCGAGAATTCAATTACTACCTCCTTCAACCTACGACACGAAGATGACAGCCAAAATGGTGTCCAATTAGTACTGAGACTCTACCTCTGTGTGTGTGTGTGTGTGCGCGCGCGTGTAACTCATAGGTGACCTTCACACAACTGTATACTGTATATATAAATATTAACATGTATTTGTCAGTCATATTTTGGGCGGGGGTGACCTCCATCTATGACTGGTTTATTTATGTTCAGATCCATACATGGCAGCGGGTGTTGGAAAGATGACGTCACTAGAGGACTAGTTACCCAGAGAAGCGGGACATAATATCGTTTAACCCTTTGAGGACGATGGTTTAATTTTAAGGGTTGTGATTTAACCCAGAGGACATTATTTGACCCCTTTGAGGACGATGGTTTAACCGTTTGATGACCGTGTTTTAACCCATTGATGACCATGTTTTAACCCTCCATGACTCAAAGGGTTATAGCACTATTATATTCTTATGTCAATAAATAAAAAATCATATTCATCCAAATTCTTATCAGTAATAAATCACCATTAATGGAAAAGGACACATCGAGTTCTTGCAAAAAATACCTAATATTTTTTTTCTTTCGATATCTTATCATTCTTATTCTGGAGGAACTAGATTTACATTTTGATAGTGGCCATGTATCTCTCATAAGGTTTAATATAATCACAGCAACACCCCCACCGCTTGCTGTCATCTGTAACTGCTGTGAAGGTGTCAACACTACAGAACCCTACATTAAGGTTTCCGAACTTTCCGCCACACAGATATAACATTAAAATCTTTCTGCTTTTAGTTTTCTTTTCAGCTATAACAAAAAATAAAATTACAAAACGTATAATAAAGACTAACCCAGGTAGGTGCATCCCCTGACACAGCTCACATCGGTATATCACATTTAACTTGGGAATTTTTAAAATAGGAGACATTTACCACACACCTGACGCGCCCCGAGTGACCCCCACTCACTAGATATTATCCCCTAAACTCTTTCAAATTACCCATTACGGCAACATAAATCATCGTAATTGTCAATATGGAGGACCAGAAGTGATAAAATCCGGCAGCAGGAGGAAGAAAACTTAGCGTAATATTCCTGGGAATTTTGAGATGCGTTCATACTATCGGGGTAAATGACGACCACCCCGCCAGATCAAGTGTTGCCATCTATCCGCGTCACCCAACACAACTCAAACACACCACGAGAAATATACCACCAACCACTCGTCAAAAATGTATATATCAACTTTACAGGCGAGCATTTTAGCGAGTTGTAATAATAGACAAAGAATGATTGTATTTGTGATGAGTGTAGGAGAGGAGAGCTTATGTGAGGCGACGAATTTGGCAGCATCATCACGTACCGCCTCAGTGACTGATCAGGGATTCTCTACTTCACAGGGGAGGAGGAAGGTTGGTCGCGGCTGTTCTAGGATTGGAACTCTTTTTTTTTTCTTCTACAATCTACAATATACTTCACTGCTCTTTGGTCTATTGTATGTATCACTGCCTTCCCGGAGAGGAGTTTTAGTGGCGCTCG